GGCCTGCTGTGTTCATATAATTGGCATTACCTAGATACCCCTATTTGAATTATGTCTCATTGCTGCTGCACAAAGACAGACTCTGCTGCAGGAGATTGCATGTATTCAAGTGGGCTGCATAAACAGATATTGCTAAATGGAGGGAAAAGTTTTTAAGAACATACAAGTACTTAAATACATCAAAAGAATGTTGAATTATGCAAGCCAGTTTAAATGGGACATAATGGCTTGAAAATGAGCTTGATCCTGTGTCCATTATTTCTGAAAAATCATTTCTGCAATGAACAATTTTAGCCAATCCAAATAAATGAGGACTTCAGGATTAAGATGGACACACGAACTTAAAAATGAAAGTGTATAGAAAATAATTTTTCTGGCAAACACAAATTTGATATATGTGCCCACTCTCAGTAAGTGTACATTTTTTAAAAAAAAACTGGTGCACAGCATTTTGACAGATTCAACAAATCACAAGTTTCAATATGTAACTTACTTCTGAAGCCGAATGAGGTAAGTTTTGTTGTCCACATCATACACGTTGTTTACTCTCATTCCCACAAAGCTGAAAAATAATTAAATTATTTTAAATAAAGACAAATAGTGAAAAATGTATACATAACCACCATAAAATCAAACAGTTTTTCATGGAATGTTTACAGCATGCAAGGTGAACATTCTGCTCATCTAGTCTCTGCTAACTCTTCAAAAGCTATTGAGAACTCCCCTGTGTTTTCTCCAAAGTCCTGCAAATTGTCTCTCCAAGTAATTATCCAATTCCATTTGGAAAGCTGAAAACATTTTCAGGTACTTCATTCCAGATCGTAAATATTTGTGTAATAAAAAAAAATTTTCCTTCAAATCGTCTGTCTTTGGCAAAAGAACCAATCAGCTTAAATCAGTATCCTCTGGCCCTCAATTTTCTGTCTATGTATTCCATCCAGAACCTCACGATTTTAAGCACCTCTATCAAATCTCTCCTCAGTCAAGAACAGTAACAAGCTTTGCCAATCTAACCTTTCATTACCAGAACTATGTTTTTGAATCTTTCCTACATCCTCCACACTGCCTTCACACCTTTCCTATAAAGTATGGTGACCAGGATTGAACAGTATTCTATTTAAGGAGGATTTAATATCTTATAAGTGGTTCACCAGGATTTTAGTGTTTCTATTTTCATGCATCTATTTATAAAAAGGCTATGATCCTGAATGGCTTATTAACCATTTTCTCACTCTCCTGCATCCCTTTAGCATTTTAGATATCTTTAATCAAGCTGATTAGACATAAGATAACAGGTCGGATTTAAACCTGAGCCTTCCAACCCAGAGGTAGGGACACCACCACTGCACCACAAGAATACAAAAACACAACCTTCATTATCCATAGCCAATTGCCTGGAAATCAGCTTTCCATTTAGCATCATATCCCTCATTTTATGTTGCCTCTCCGCGATCTGCCTATCAAAATGAATCACTTCACATTTCCCTGCTTTGAACTTCACCTGCCAATCTCCATCATTGTGTTCTCAAAGTCTATCACTATCCTCCTCATATTCACAATAATTCCAAGGTTTTTTAAAGTTACATTTTTAAAGTATGCCCTGCACACCAAATCTAGGTCACTTATATATAGATCAAGAAAAGATGCTTAATACAAATCAAAACCTCAGCAGTATTTACAAGCATACTCATACAATTTAATCATATAAAAATAATACACAAAAAAAAACTTACTTAATGAGCAAAAATGGTTTTTTTTATACATCACTCAAAAACAAGGCAAGAATTTACCATTTCAGAAATCAGACTATGAATTCCAAGGCATACGTAATAATTGTTTTTAACTGCTACTTTAACACTGCTACTCCTGTTAAATGCTTATATGCCAATAAGGCAAGCAATCTCTGGTATACCTATAAACATAATAAACTGGAACATTCAGAATTTTAAAAATATCCACAGATCATGTCTATGTCGCTCTCTTTCAGGAGTATAAATTTTAAAGAAAGCTGCAAAGTGCCAGAGAACAATGATACCTCAAATAAGACAAACTGTAACTGAATCACGAGAATGGATTTTATGGAAAGGTGAGAATAGTGTCAATGAAGGTAATTTTGAACAATTTGTCAAAGTACAGTATAAAGAGATTATGTGACAGTTCCGTCATCTGCTTAGGATGGACATGTTGTCGCAAACCACTTCAACTCTCCCTCCCACTCGTTGGACAACATGTCCATCCTGTCCATCCTGGGCCTCCTCCAGTGTCACGACAACGCCACCCAGAAACTGGAGGAGCAGCACCTCATATTCTGCCTTGGCAGCCTACAACCCAATGGTTTCAATGTGGACTTTACCAGTTTCAAAGTCATGCCAACCCTCCTTCTCATCTCCGCCTCCTTAACCTGTCTGTCTTCTCTCCCACCTATCCACTGCTCCTACCTCACTGACCAATTCCCACCACTGCCTACCGGCACTCACCTATCACCATCCCACTACCTTCCCCAGCCCCAGCCTCACCCCTCCTCTCTCTATTTGTTAGAGAGCTCCCATCGCCCTTCCCCATTTCTAAAGAAGGGTCCCGATCATAACATTGTATGTGTTTCAAATATCCATCTAAAATACCTCAAATATTGTAACGGTTCCTGCCTCAACCACTCTTGCACAGTGAGGTCCAGATATCCAAAATATAGATAGTAAACTTCAGAGCCCTTCACCAAGAAATACTCAAATAATGCCACCACTGACCGAGATGGCTAATATGAAGGACTTAGCAGCCAGACTTGGTCAATGGCAAGAGTTGAGGGAATCTGATGGGGAAAAAAAAACCTCATCAAATCTGTTGCAGATGCAAATGTCCATGACAGTATTACCAAAAGCAGCCACTGCAGTTTTTAAAAACAGACTAAATCACATCTTCACAATCAATCAATCATGTTGTGTCACACAACCACTTACTAAATGGGATAGATTCAAAACAAATCTAGTAACTAAAAACGGTAAGGAAAAGGGGAGGATTCAATAAAGGAGTATAGTCATTTTAAATCAACCTGTTATGACACAGCTCTGGCAGAAAGGGCTTGAACTGTGTCTTCTGGTGCAGAGGTTGGGACACTACCATTGCACAACAAGACTTCCTTTCCAATAAGGAGTTTGAGAGAGCCTGCCAGAAGGTATACTATATTAGGTACCCATCAGAGAAAGCCAGAAAAAGCATGGACCACAGCATGCAAATAAGAGGAGCATGTTACAGATAGGGCCAAGCAATCACACACCACATGACCAGATCAAGCATCACAGTTCTGCCACAATGTGGTTAATGATATTGGATTGAAGTCTGCTTCTCCAGTTAGTTTTTCACAAACATCCACATCTTCAATGATGGGACAGCCTAGCTGATCTGTACAAAAGAAAAGTTATTTCCAATCATCTTCAACTAGAAATGTTGAATGGATTGTCAATTTCGGTCTCCTACTGAGCTACCCAGCATAACAGTTGCCAGTATTCAGTCAATTCAGTTTAATCAGTGGAATATTAAAAATGCATTGGATGCAGCAAAAGTTCTGGGCCATGACAACATCCGGGTGTAATCCAAAAGACTGACTTATCCAATGCATTCCAGTACAGCTACAACACTGACATCCACCCTACAATGTGGTAAATCATCCAAGTAAGTCCAGACCACTAAAGCAAGACAAATCCAATCCAATTATGACTTGTCTATTCTCAGTCACAAACAAAGCGATGGAGGTGTCAATGTTTATAACAAGCAGTATTTACTCAGCAATAATCTGCTCAATGCAAGCCTCGACATGATCACTCATTTCCAGGCCTTAACACAACCTTGGTCTAACCAGAGCCAAATTCCCAAAGTGAAGGGAAAGTTATTTCATTTTATTTAGTAACATCAAATCCTCAGAGCCTTCTGGCAGTTCCTCATTTGCTGAGTTTAAGCTGATTAGCCTGCCACTTAGTCTTTGGAAGGTGGCTGCACAGGGGTTTATGCTGAATTTGTTTATTAAGGACCACTGTCGCCAGTGAAGTTCAAAGCTTGCCACTTGACAGATTTTGCCAAAAGGAATTTGGTGACTTCCCATGTTTACCATTTCTTGGTCCATAGGATGTCTGCTGATGGATTTTGCTCAGGAAGGTTACTCATCCTGGGCACTGAACGGAGGATAGACAGTAGGTGGATCAAGCAGGTCATCGTGGTGTGGTAACGGATTTGTAGCTTGGTCAGTTTCAAACCAGCTGGTGGATTTTCATCAGTCAGAAGATATGTGGGGCACTGATGTTTGCAAGGTCAAAAAGCTAGCGGAGGAGTGTTGATACGAGGATTTGTGCATGAAGCATATTGATTAATTTAGTTGAGTGGCAACAAGATGCGAGTATGATGACCTATGCTAAACAGGTGTACATTCCCATCAGGATGGTCTGAAGGCTCTCCACTTCTCCCTTAAAAGGCCCAAACAGCCTCCATCCTCCGCCACTACCCTGCTCAGCTCATCCTCACTTTGAACAACATTTCCTTTAACTCCCCTCAATTTCTTCAGGTCAAAAGGTATGGCTATGGCTACCCACATGGGTCCCAGACATGCCCATCTCCTTGTTAGTTACGTGGAACATTCCTTATTCCAGTCCTACACAGGGTCTCCCCACAATGTTTTCTTCAGTACGTTGTTGACATAATCGATGTTGCTTCCCTATCTCGTCTGGAATTGGAAAAGTTTATTAATTTTGTTTCAAATTTCTATTCTTCTCTCACCTTCATCTGGTTCATCTCTGACTCCTCCCTTCCATTCCTGGATATCTGCGTTTCCTTTTCTGGTGACAGGCCGGCCACAGATGTCTACTACAAACCCACTGATCCCAGAATTGCCTTGACTACACGTCCTCAAACCCTGATTCCTGTAAGGACTCCAATCCAATTGCTCATCTTCACCACCACATCCATTCTGATGGTGCCACCTTCCACAGGGTGGCCTCAGACATGACCATCTTTTCCTCAACCTAGGATTCCCCACCACTGTGGTTGACAGGGCCCTAAGCTGTGTCCGACCCATTTCACATCTGGCCTCACTCCTTCCCTTCCACAACAGTGATAGGATCCCCTTTGACCTCACTTTCCACCCCGCCAGGCTCCTCAACCAAAGGAACTTAAACTGCCATTTCTGCCATCTCCAGCAGGAGGTCACCACCAGACACTTTATACCACTCCTCTCCCTTGTCAACATTCCACAGGGACTGTTCCCGTTACAGCACCTCGGTCCACTCCTCCTCCATTCCCAACACGTCCTCACACCTCTATGGAATGTTCCCATACAATTGCAGAAGATGCAACACTTGCCCGTTTACTTTTTTTCTTCTCACTATCCAAGGCCCCAGACACACCTTCCAAGCGAAGATGCAATTCAGGTGCACTTCATTCAATCTAGTCTACTGTATTTGCTGTTCACAATGTGGTATCCTCTACAATGGGAAGACGAAATGCAGATTAAAAAAAAAATCAAAAGAACTATGGTTGCTGAGATTTTCCAGCAATTTCTGTTTTTGTGTGGATGAAATGCAGATTGGGTGACAGCTTTGCCGAACACCTCTACAAAAATGACTTCATGCTTTCAATTGCCTGCCACTTCAACACACCAGTGTTCCCATGCCAATTTTTGTGTCTCAGGCCTGCTACTGTGCTCAAGTGAAGTTCAATGCAAGCTGGAGGAACAGCACTTCATCATCAACCTTACATCATTCAGGACACAACAATGAGTTTAACAATTTCAGAACATGAACACCTTCCTTCAGGTTTGTTGGCCATCCCTAACACAGTGTGGTCTTGTTTTGTATGTGTTGTTCCCAGCACAGCCAACCCATTTTAAACTATTCACACTTTTTGTTAGCACCCAGTTAGCATTTCGCCTTCCTAGTTTATCATCAGCAGCCCTTTGTCTGCTTCTCTTTATTCTCTCTTTGGGCACTGTCTCCATCTATTTGATCCACTCTTTCCTCTCTCTCTTCCTTCCAGCACCACTGCACACCCCCCACAAAATGGTAAGCTAAATACCACTATTTCCCAGCTACTTTCAGTTCTGGCAAATGGTCATTACTTGAAACACTAACTCTGTTTTTCTCGTCACAAACGCCACTGACTTTGTCCAGCACCTTCTGTTTTTATGACATCATTCAGGCTTGGGCTAATAAAGTACAAACATTCACACCCTTACCCCCCCAAACCGCGCCCGCCAAGGCAAGGGCGCGTCCAGTACGGGGAGAAAAACCTAGCCTTGAATTTATCTCCATTAAACCAATATCTTGGTGTCACCCTCACCGAATCCCTCATCGAGATCTTGGGGGTTAACAGTGACCAGCAATTTAACTAGACCAGGCATATAATTGAGCGGCTACAAGAGCAAATCAGAGTCTCAGATTTGTGTAGCAAGTAACTCATCTTGCTAAGATGACTTCCCAAATCAGGAATACTCTCCATTTGTCTGCATAACTGCAGCCCCAACACAAAAGTTCAAAAGTATCCAGGACAGAACAGTCTGAGGAATAACATCTATCCGCCATCTTAAACTGCTTCTCCCTTAACCACCGCCGCACAGCGTGAGCAATGTGTACTGTCTACAAAACATATCGCAGCAAATGACCAAGCGTTCAAAGAATGCTTTGTAAAGTTACCAACTAAAATAAGAAGGACAGCAGATAGTCCGGAAGCCACCACCTACAATTGCTCTCCAGGAATAGGTCAGGTTGACACGTCTGTTTAGCGCGGACAAGTTGGATCGAAGGGTCTGTTTCCGTGCTGTGTGACTATATGAATCTTTAAGTCACACAACATACTCACTTTATTCAAAAATCTGGAATTCAATCTTTTTTTTTCCCTGTACTGGACGTGTCCTTGCCCTGTGGGAGGTGTGAATGTTTGTACTTATTAGCCTAAGCCTGAATGATGTCATAAAAACAAAAGGTGCTAGACAAAGTCAGCAGCGTTTGTGAAGAGAAAAAGAGTTAGTGTTTCGAGTAGTGACCCTGCATGGATTGCAACCCCGTATAATACAATCATTACTATCATGAGGGCAATTAGATGGCCAACAAATGTTTCTTTTGCTGGCTTAGTCAGCACCCCCCACATCACAAGGGCAAATATACATAAAAACACTAGAAGAAAATGTTACAAAATCGGCCAGGGCTAACTAAAGACCTTCGAATCTCTCTTCGCTCTCCTTATGCCGTGCAATGTTAAAGGTGCTTGATAAATATAAGTTGGCGTCTGACAGTTTGGTGCATGGCCCTGGAACTTGAACATATTTCTGAATCACATGGTGTCATTTTCACGTTGTCAGCCCCAACAGCAAATTAAAGTCGGCTCACACGGTGTAAGAAAAAGTCTCCAGTACCTCTGCAGTTCAGATACAATCGCTCGGATATCGATGGTGTTGAATCGCGACTTCATCTTCACCGCCGGTTCAAGCCGAGAGTCTTCCCACCGTCCCCTCGGTTATCTGCGCAAGTACCAACTCCATACGGTAAGAGACAAAGGCCAAACCTCTACACCGCGACCGCGGAAGTCAAAATACGATACGACAACATCTGAAATATTGAACATATCTGCTAACATTGAAGTTTTCAAGTAATGTAGTCCCGTTTCAACTTAATGAATAGCGCCATGCCATTGAACGTATCGAGTTGCGCTTATATGGATTAAGTCATCTTAATTCATTGTAATCAGTGATTCATGGTATTTGAAATATACGGTTAGGATCGTAACAAGGCACGAGCTTATTCACAGCACTTACATTATAAATTATTTGCAAAATTCCGTCTGTAAGCTATTGTATTTTCTTTCTATTACTTTTTAAAGCAACTACATTGAAAACCGTAATAATGTGTGCAATATCGGATCCTCTGCAGGACACCTATAAAGAATTATTCTCAACTGCTACCAAAAGACAGCGATATGCTGCATTTTCTTCTTACACTCCAACTCTTGGAATATCTCAAGGTTACTTTCTTGATGCATGTTGCCCTGCAGAAACCTTACCCAGAGAAAAAAAGGATCTCTCCAGCTGGCCACTGCCATCCTAATAGCACAATCCACGACCACATTGTCAGACAGTAGAACCAGAATTATTTAAGCCACGGTTGAGCTACAGCATGTGTCAATTGAACTTAAGGAAAACAGAACTTTTCAGCTCCCATCAAAACTCCATAGCTTTACCCATGCCCCATCCATTCTTCAGTTTTTTTGTCATACAGTTCAGTAAAAACACCAGCCATGATTTTGTTCAAAGGACCAAATGGACTTCTAAAGCTAAACAAAGCACAGCACTACTTTGGTGTCTGTTTAAAGAGAAAGGTTTGCATCTATCTCTTTCTATGACCACCAGACATTTTCAAGCATTTTGCAGCTAATGAAGTACTTATTGAAGTGTACCCTCTGTTGTAATGTAGGAAATACAGCAACTAATTTCCATGCAGCCAGCTCCCACAAATTGTAATGTGATGATGAACAGATTGTCTGTCTATATTTTTAGAAAATGATCAATTCACCAGAGATAATTTCCTGTCCTTTAAAAGAGCACAGCATCATTGGATCCTTACATCTGCCTGAGCAGTCAGATGGGATCTCGGTTTAATGTTCCACCTGAGAGTCAATACCTCAGATATTGGAATACTTCCTTAGTCCTGCAGTATAAAGCCAACTATGAGTTTTGTGCCGAACCTGTGGTGGGACTTAACTCAGAATCTTGTGGTTCAGGGGGCAAGTGTACAATTAACTGAGCCACAGCTGATGCTTTGTAATAGTGTACCCTCATCAATGAATAAGAGCAGCTAAAAGTACCACAACAAATTCTGCTTGTTCTTTGTCAGTGTTCTCATTAATTTGCATTAGCCCATTATCATAATGCTTATCCTCATTTAGATTTTCCTTAATGGTTTTACCTCAGTTTATCTTTGCAATCTCCTCCATACCTACATGCCGATGTGTTTATCTTCTTTGTAGATAAATATTTGCATATAAAGTAGTTGCAGTTAAAACTGGTCATGCTTTCTTTTGTTTATGTTTTGTTTACCTCCACAATATTTGTAACTTGTCCTTCAGCCTTGATCTTTCTGTTGGCCCTTCTGTGAATACTTATTACTTTTATCAACACGATTGCACTTTTAAAGGTCTTGGCTGTTTATCCAAATAGGGTACAGGTTTGAGTCATTCCTCCAAATTGTGGAAAAACATACCTATTTACCCATCTATATGCTATAGCTGTTGATTTACAAGCTCAGAGCTTCTTCAAAACTCATATTCCCCTCTTCTCTTAGCAGTCATGTCATAATATAATTTCTGCCTAAATAATTGGATCTTTGAGATCTTTCAGGTGCCTGAATTAAAGGATTCTTTGAGCTGCATTGATGTGGTCCCATTTCAGTCAATAAGCTCTTTTTCACCTTTAGCTCCAATGTTGAACACATGAAATTCATAAGCTATGTTCAATTTAGGTGAAAGCATGCCTTCAACACTTTCAAAATCTCTGCAGTCAATTTTTTTTCTTGAGATCTATTTAGGGTGGTATACACTTTGCAATAGTCTCTCCCCAGCTGCAATATAAGTGTAGCCATTCATAATTGCTCTGACTTGTTAATTACATCTACTGCAATCTCATAATTTTGCCTTAGGTGAAAAAACTGCCTGTTCTGCTACATATCACCTTCCATTTTGACCAGAGCCAGGAGAGGAAAACTTGCAGTCATTATGTCTTACCAATACTTTCATGTTTGAATTCCGTGTTACTTTTCTATGGCTTACTGTGTTCCTGTTTTAGTAGCTGTGTTTATAAACAATTTATCTACATTCAATCTCAGCTCCACTCTGACACCATGTTATATGCTCACACAGTACAATAGTCTCACTTGTACTATGCCTTTATGGAACTGCTTGTAAATATCTATCTGTAGTGAGCCTGTCTCATGGCATAGGTCAAATGATTATGGCAAGCCAGGAATGGAATTTGTACATGGTTGTATTTCAATCCAAACATGGGCTTTGCTATCGAAAACAGTTGGATGCAGATAAGTGAGGTGCCTGTTGTGATTTCTGACCACTTCATATTTCTTTGTCTATGATCAGTGGTGATTTATGCACCAACAAGATAAAAGTTAATTCTATTACGGTCTAGATAATAGTCTGGAGCACCTGCCAATGGAGAAAAGTTGTCTCATGGCAAAAGTGCTTCAGTCATCATGACGTTAGCAAGACGCATGATAAAATGGCTACTAGACCTTTGTGCACAGCATTGACTTTGCCCTTCCAGGACAGACATTTGCACAAGTTGTCACGGCACCATGTGAGGAACAGGCCATTGGCACTAAAATGACCTGATAATCATCAGAAGATGCAATCCATCCAGTGCTCTTCACATTTGCACTTATGATAGCCAAATTCTGATACTGATCACTTCCTTGTCAGCAACAAGGTGGAAGTCTAACCACGAAAATATGCAAGTCCAAACATAATGGCATGCTGTGCATCACTATTCCACGCAGAGAGATGAATACAAATATTAGAATTTCTGAGTTTCTCCGGCAGTTCCTTTTCCCCCTGAAGGCTCATCAGATAATGCCAATGAAACATGGAAGTCTCCACAAGCAGTCAGCTGTGAAGTGTCAGTAATCATGTTAAGGCAAAGAAAGTGATATTGTGGATGTGTTGTCCCAGTCGAATTCGTGTCCTTCTTTGTCTGTGTGTATTGAGACCAGTGAGAATTGGTTGTGTCTCTTGGTGGCTAGTTGGTATCCTTATTGCCAGTTTTCTTCCAGTTTGACCTATGTAATATTTCTCACAGTCCTTGCATGGTATTTTATATATTATGTGTTTGGCCATACCTACTAGTCACCCTGCCATACATCAGAGACGTATCAGATGACTACAAGACTACTCAGACAGCTAGGTATAAGGGTAGCCCACAAACCAACAACCATCCTGTGACAGCTACTGACAAACGTAAAGGCCCCATATCCACAACCAATAAAACTAACGTAATATACAAAATACCATGCGAGGACTATGAGAAACAAAGTGGAAGAAAATTGGCAATAAGGATACATGAACATCAATTAGCCACCAAGAGACACGACCAATTCTCACAGGTCTCGATACACACAGGCAAAGAATGACACTAATTCGTCTGGGATGACACATCCCTAATAGCACAAGCCATACAGAGACAGGCCAGGAAATTCCTGGAGGCCTGGCATTCCAACCGGAACTCCATCAACAAACACATTGACCTGGACCCAATATACAAACCACTGAAAAACAGAACCGGAAGTCATACCAACTACCCCAGCAAACCGAGACATATAACTAACAAGCGGGACACACTGGAGGAGCACTAACAATGTTGCCTAGCAAGGTAACGAAATGTCTGCAATCAAACACATCGGCTTGGCGAGCAAGTCTGCAACCAGATCAATTTTCATTTTATTTAATGAGATGTTCTTTTTCCTGAAACACATGCCCACAATACTGCAGATTTGCTTTTAATCATAGAATCCCTACAGTGTGGAAGCAGGCTATCAAGTCCACACCATCTATCTGAGGAGCCGTCCCCCACACTGTCCCTGTAAGCCTGCATTTCCCTTAGCTAATCCACCTAGCCTGCACATCCCTCTACACAAAGGGCAATCTAGCATGGCCAGTCCACCTAACCTGCTCATCTTTGGACTGTGGGAGGAAATCAGAGGAACTAGAGGAAACCCATGCAGACACAGGGAAAATGTGCAACTCCACACAGACAGTCACCCAAGGGTGGAATCAAACCTGGGTCCCTGGCACTGTAAGGCTAAGCACAGAGCTCTTAAATAAAAACAGTTTATTACAAAAGTAGGTAAAATAAAATAAACCAAACATATAAATATATTTGAAAGATTTTGAAACACATCGTAAAACTACAATTCCATCTATCCCAACATTATTACTTTATAGTACTCCAACACCAAAGAGAATTTGCTTTTCTATCACATCTATTGGTTCAACTTAACCGTTTCTTTCAATTTCCAATCTTGACAGGTTGATAGACTCTTCCTTGAATGTATACAAACTAAGCCCAGACTTTCTCAACTTCAAGTAATCCTTTCAGGATTTTAACTAACAGTCCTTGTCTTGCTCAACTAAAACCATTATACTCAGGTGACTATTTTCTAAAATAGAACATAGAACATAGAACATTACAGCGCAGTACAGGCCCTTCGGCCCTCGATGTTGCGCCGACCTGTGAAACCAATCTGAAGCCCATCTAACCTAAACTATTCCATTATCATCTATATGTTTATCCAATGACCATTTAAATGCCCTTAAAGTGGGCGAGTCTACTATTTTTGCAGGCAGGGCATTCCACGCCCTTACTACTCTGAGTAAAGAACCTACCTCTGACATCTGTCCTATATCTATCACCCCTCAATTTAAAGCTACGTCCCCTCGTGCTAGCCATCACCATCCGAGGAAAAAGGCTCCCACTGTCCACCCTATCTAATCCTCTGATCAT